TATTGATGTACCGTTTTGACCTTGATCTTCCTCATTCGACTATTGATTAAAATTATGAATGAACAATATATCGGACGTCGATATTAATTTAGCATGTGTCGTGGGTAGTGATGTAATAGACTTGAATTAATTTTATGGAATTGGGACGACCGGAATCCTAGACTAAAGTTGAAACAACTGCACTAAAACTATTTTTAGACCCAGCTCTATATTAATATTTTCATTAAGTGGAATAATTAAAATAAAATATTCATTGCTACTGAGAAAGTCCATTTCTCAATAATTACTTAATTGGACAGTGTTTGGGTAAAAGTACTGTTTTTTCTGAGAAAGAAACCAAAATTAAAACTAATTATCTTGAACGAAAGTTTAGTTTTACTGAAATTTTTCCCGACGAATGTTTGTTTTAGCGTTCGAACTTGGATAATTAGTTTATAATTTAATAAGTAAGCGAAAAAAGTTCAGTTAAGCGGACCACCAATTCCGTTACGATTTGAACTTGGAGCCAATTAGACTTTTTTCTTGATCGGTTTAACAAACAGAAAGAGTAATTGGAAACAACATTCTTTAAATTGTTTAAATTATTTTTCAATTCAGCTTTTCTTTTCCACCTGTTTTTATTATTTACGTGTCAACAAAAAAAATTAATAAAATTTAGTGTTATTATTTAGTGTCGCTATACAAACAGTTTGTTTTATAAACTGAGCCAGTAATGAGATAAAATTCTCATTTTTGAAATAAAGTTTAGTATACAGAGTGGTTCAAATATTTTTTATCTACTGCACAGCCATTCAAAATTAAATATACCAGGTGAGCAGAAAGTATGGAACAAAACATTTTTTGGTCCAATACTTTTTGTTCACCCTGTATGTATTTGAATTGTTGCAATAAACCACTGTCAAAAGATTATAAACGCTACAATGGAAGTCTGATTTTAACAAGATGGACTACATAGATAAAAATGAGAAAAAACTTTGTAATATTGACTAAATTGAGTCAGAAATATGGAAATCAGTTCTGTGACCTATTCCCACTCAGTAATAAATATTCTAATATGCAAGTGCAATGTGAAATATTAAAGCTGTCTCCGGTTAAAGGGAATGTAATGACTTTATGAATTTATTTTATTACGTTGAATGATTTACATTATGAACCACCGGAACCGACATAAATGTACATTCTACAATTACATCCCTGCAAAAATTTAACTTGGCACACGAAAGCCATGCTTTATTAGCTGTTAAGACAACAAGAGTTTTAAAATATAAAATTTGAGTTGTTTTCAATTTTTTCCAACACTGATAGTGAATAAGAAATTTTACTAAATTCAGAATAGACTTATTCTAAGACCGAAATAGAAAAAAAAATATTTTTTTTTGTATTTTTGGGTGTAGCTTTTAGGTTCGATAATTTTAAACTAAACTCTTATAGTAATAAGTCGATTTTACTTATATACATTTTGCTCTTTTGTTTTTGAAATTGTGATTCGAACTATACACTCATATAATATGAAGAGCAATACTGATCACTATTTTCATAAAACTAAACAAAGAACCTCCTTTTTCGGCTGTGCATTATACAGTGTAATAAAAAATACAAAACTGTTTTGCAACGTCATAATCCACATTCTGAAATTAAGTAGATACATATACAGTGTTTCATAACTTATTATTTAAATAAAATATTCCATAATTGTTTATTACTCAAATTTGTCACAATATTAAAATTTAATAAAAAAAGTAATGGTCAATTTTAAAGTATTTCAATTAGCGTTATTTTATACAGACTGTGTCAAAACTTGCGTCCCAGAAAAAAGATAAGATGGAAAAAATGTTTAAAAATTCTATCTGTCAAAAAATTTTGAGATTTATTTTTTGACATTTGAAATTTTTTTATGTCTATTTAATGATATTGATGATCTTGTATATGTTTTTTTTTATTATTATTTAGTAAAGGTACAAAAATATTGCCAATAAAAGCCACAAATAACATTAAACAGAGTTACAATTTAGGATACAGCTTCCTTATTTCCTCTTCTAATAGCATGTAGCAAAAAACTTGAAAAATTATTTTTCCAACAGAAATAAATAGAATCGAAGTGCAAAATTTAAACTCTCATAATTTTGAAATTTTTATAGATAGATTTTTTTTAACATTTTTCTCTGGGGCGCAAGTTCTGGCGCACTCTGGATATAGTTTCTGAATGCTGAATAATGTTTTTTAAAGAAGTTTTTCAAATCTACAAAACCCTTTGCTTTGTATCTTTGTTAAATATCTATCACTTAAAAAAATACATTTCATGTATTTTTACGATTTTACTATCTCATCTTCAAAAACTTAAAAATTCGTAATTTTTCAAACTCGACCCAACAAGGTTTTATGCACTTTTTTGAGTCTTTAGAAAAGAGTCTTTAGAAAAGTATAAAACGTTGTAAAGATCAATTTGAAAGCTGATTTTTATTATTTTTGTCGAGATTTTGGTACCCGGAGCAGTTTATTGCTAATCACTCCGGAACTATTGTCGCTAGCCTCTTGTATTTGGAATCGTCGGAAAGCAAATTTAATTTTCTATCATAAACAAAGGAGATCAGTGTCCTACGATAAATAGTTATTGAGAAAATTAATGATAAAATCAATATAAATATAAATTAATTATTGTGTTTGTATCTCTATTCATATTTCTCTTTGCCATATTTCCTCTATTCGAACTGAAACGATCTAATATACGAACCCATTAAAGTTGTCAGTTAAATCATCATAAGCAAATTACCCACACCTTTGAATATTAAAACCACAATACGCAAAACCTACCAAGTAATAACATTACCTCTCAGGTCAATTACTTCCAACATTTAAGCGAATTAATAAACCAAACAATAGAGTTTGTGTGCAACTGTCAATAACAACTCAAACGCATTATTAGTATGCCAGTCTGTATTTTTGTTTTTCATTTAATTTTGCTCTCCCGGTTCACAACAATACACAAATGGCTCAATCGAGGTAAACATCAAAAGAACGAACGAATGTGACCGGAATATGTGAACAAACAGAAAGTGAAATATTGGAACGTAAAAATACAGAGTCGAGACTCAAACAGTCATTTAGCTGCAGCCGAAAATTGTGGTACGTGTTTTAATCATCATAAAACGAAAAAACGAATTAAAAATGTTTGAGATAAATGGTTAATTATTTGAAACGTTTTAGTACTTTCGACGAGCTTTGAACAAAAAAATTCAAGAAACAATTCAACCCTTATCGATTCAAAAGTTTCCCTCTTGAGACAACTTCCGTACTACAAGCATCATCAATGTCGGAGAAACCTTGAAGTTGCAACAAGTCAGCAGATTTCATTTTCTGCTACAAGGATGTAATTTGCATCCTCGGAGTACAAAATGATTTAATCAAAAATTTAATGTGCTTGTATAAATTAAATAATCTTATCATTTTTATGCTGCTTAGAATGTCGTTATTTTCATTAATTTAATTACCTACTTAACAATCTATACTATGGTTATAGCCCATGAAAGATTAAAAAATTCTAGGTATTTATACACTATTTGTATAGCATTATGGATATTTACACGTATATTCGAGTCAAAATATTGATTTTTCTGTTGTTCTATAAGTGATTTTTATATTTAAATACATGCAAGGTAAATCTTAACATATAAACTTAGGAAATGAAAAGTTACGATCAAATAAAAAATGAAAAAAATTAGTATATGTTAAATAAATACCGTGCGATCAAAAAAATAATAAATTAGAGTAGGCGGTGATTAAAGTCCTTCAGATGGCAATCCTGATTTTTGACATCAAATGTCAGCGGAAACTTTGACTAGTTTGCGTTTTATTCCTTTTGAGTGAAATAATGTTCACTTTAGAGCAGACATTTTTTATTGCTGTACAAGAGGGAAACGGTGGATGGTCATTTGCACTTTGAGTTTGTGTGGAAAATTTCTAGCTCAGATTTCCAGCCAATGTGTTGCCAACTGTAGAATTCAATCGACGCCTACTCTAATTTATTTTTTATTTGATCGCACGGTAGTATATTATGTTATTAAGAGTAAAAAATTTACTTGTACCCCAAATAAATACATAACATACTATTTTATCCACAAACGTATTTAGAACGAGAGTAAAGAGCTACATTATAATTAGCAAGTAAATAGATAAAAGATAAAATAATCAAAACGCTTTGAATCATATTTTCGAAAGTGTTTATTAATTTAACTAGTGCAGTTGGTAGTGTAAAATGTCGAACGCTAATAATCTCATTGTACCTCTCCAGAAATTGTTGAAGCAGCAAAATGGGCAAAATGCGCAAAAATAAAATTTTAACTCCACGTCCGAAAACTTTTATTTGTAACATTTATAGTTTTCTCAATTTTTTTTTCACTATTAGTTATTATTCGGCATAAACTATAGATAATTGCCTAAGTTTATACGTATACAGAGTGTTAAAAAATAGATAGATTTTTTTAAACAATTTTTTTTGTCTAGGGCACCGCCCAATGTCAGTGTCACGGAAGTGCGCAATTTTTTGAACACCTGTATATTAAGACTCACCCTGTATTTTCAAACTTAATATTATCTAAAAAATACTTTAGGAGAAAACTACCCAATCTTTCTTAGTTTAGATTTATTTTTTTATGCTATGCAAATCACTTCTGTATACCAATACCCTACCACAAAGACGCCGTTCTAAAACCTCGGCCCTCATTTCCATAAAAATCATTTAATCTCGTTCAATCTCAGATTCCCATCAATGGCTATCACCTGACCACCATTCAAACATACATGTTGTTTTTTTTTTACTTGCACTGGTGTGTCTGATGAGGACAATAAATACAAGACGCTACAATCCTATTTTCAGATAAACGAATATAAATCTAAATCCCAAGAAAGGTCGGACACCCACGTTTAACTTTGTCGGTGTGTTGACACACAGATGCGATAAACGATTTGACCATTCGGTACCATGACACAACAATTAAACTTACCATTTGGGACGGCGATTTTGGCTTTCGATTGATATCCGGAATTTTCTGGCATGCTGGAAAAAATAAAATCGATGAAATTGCAAATTTGATGAAATCATCATCATAGTTGTAGCCCACATGGGTGTTGAGCCAAGAGCCACCCATACAGACGCAATTCTACAAATCCAACACCTTAGTTGCTCACACCCTATGTTAATCATCACTGTAAATGTATTCAAACTAATAATATGGTTGTCTGTGGGCTACATTATCGGTGATGCAGAGAAATGAATAAATTGAATAAACAACGTATTTTTTTAATGTGTCGTATGTTTGGAGTTTGTGGTTTGTGTTTACAGATCTATGTAAAATGTGGGTTTTAATAGGTATTAAATGAGAGAGTAACCGTAAATTACCCAAAACGAATGGTAATAAAATTGAAATATTAATCAAATTTATGGTTTCTAGCACAATTTTAAGTTGTTTTTATCTAAACAATTAATAGAAAATAAAACAATATACTTCTCAGCTGCAATTTTTGAGGTCAAATAGGTGTATTTATAAAAATAATTGTGTTATAACAAAAAAATTAAAAATGACAGAATTTTTATAGAATTTTTCTAAACTTTAGACTCAGTTTTCTAAAACTCGTAATTTTATTGTTAAAATATTATTATTTAAGAACACACTGAATAACCATATGTTTGTTGTAAAATATACATAATTCAATAACATTTCATATGCAGTATTTGTTTCAAAATGCTGTATCCTCAATCCCCAAAACTTCTTATAAAAACTCTTGTGAAATCGATTTTAAAAATATTAATATTTTTTCTATTACATTTACTCAACAATAGACAATATACAGGATGTTACGTTTTGGTTGTCACTTTAAACATGTGATAAAATATTCAATTTTAAGACAAAAATTTTCTGCAAACATGTTTTAAAAAATACTATGAGAAGGAGCTACACTCTCTGAAATCCTAAATATCATAGTTTCTCACAAAAAATAAGTCTCTTGCGTTGTTTCGAAACAACTTACTGATTTTAAGTAAAATCAATTTTAAATTTGTTACAGGCCATAAATAGCACTAAAATTATTTTTTTACCTTATACCCCCTCCATTTAAGAGGCCCATGATTAAAAATTTCGACATTAATTTAATATTTGAATTCGTTTCGGTGTATAAAGGTAACCAAATTTGTCCAAATTTTCTAATTTTATTTTAGTGTAGCTAGTATTTTTCAATACATGTTCATGGGAAACCTTTGTATTTAAATTTGAACAATAAAAACTGAACACCTGAATATGTGTCTTTTTAATGTGTAACAGTCATTCTTAATAAAAAATAAAACATTTTGAGTTTTAAACTATGAGTTATGTCAACCGATTTTTGGCAAAATTGATTTTAAATAACTAAAACAAGACAAATAAAGAGATATTTTTCTCGAGTTTTTTGATTGAGTTTATTTTAATATTCACAAAAACAACTTGTATAGAATAGAGTGTCTCAAAAAACCTTGAATTATTTCGTGAGATAATTCCTTAGGTTAAAATGAAAAAAAGTCCTATGGACCTGTATTTTGAAATGCTTCCTAAAAGAGTTAGAGCTAAAATTCAAAATTATTTAAAACAAATCACATACATTTTAATAGGAAAGAACAGGAAGAGTACTCTTATCTGTCACATAAAATGCTAGAGTTGTATTTTTGTTTTTCAAATTTAAGTTTTAGATAATATTCATTTGCATTTTATTTTTAACAATATGTGTTATAATCTCTTAGCAACACATTTTGGTCTTGACCAAACACATCATTTTTAAACACGTAATAAATAAGTTTTAATTTCATGATAAATTCAAACATTTGCAAAAAGTAAAATTAAAACTGATTTTGCTTTTGGTTCTATTTTAGATTCAATAAAGTGATAAACCGGTTTTGGTTCTCATAGTAAATTTTTTAACATTTCTAAAAGATAAAAAGAAGTACTTTTTTTTGCAATATCTTAACGATTAAAAAAACACCAATAAAATATGTAACACAAAAATTGCTTTGTATATTATACCAGGTCGGGAAAATGTATTTGTTCGCGTTGTATATTTTCTAAATCCGAAAAATTCACATTTTTGTCGTAAATTGAAGCAAACACACTAATGATTGTTTGTAATAAAAATATCTAAAAGAACATGTTTGAAGTTTGAGGTAAAATATCTTCATGTTACTTTTAAAGCTCATAAACTACTACCATAAATTTTATATTAAGTAATGTGACTGGAGCTTTCAACACTAAATTAACAAAACTGTTCGGAAACCACAAAATTTTTGAATCATTAACAATAATTAAAAATTAATTAATAAATTCACAGTCGCTTTAAAAACTTATCTTTTTAATTAGTTAATTTTCGGGAGCTTTGGCGTTTACTCATCCAACTAGTTTCAGTGATAACTCCATTAAATTAATAATTCATGGCCCATGATTCATCCACGAGTGTTTGCTGATGTTTATCACAAAAATTTTATTTGCGCACACAAAAGGCCAATATGTGGTACATTTCCTTAACGTCAAGTTTAAGCTCGGTATCCTTTCAACTTTCCACATTTTACCATCTTTTTACGACGTTAATTCCGCTTCAGTCACAAAAACTTAAATGCAACAAATAAATGTAAAAATCTCTCGTGGTTAGCTGGATCACAAAAGCTCGCTTTTTATGAAACAATTTCGATTTGTCCAACTGGCCATTCGTGAGAAAACACATAAAACCCAAATCGTGTAAGATATAAATTTTACTTACTAACAGATTCGATGACTTCAGCAAGTAAGACTCCGTCACTGCAATCCGCCGCTAAGGAATTGACGCGTTTTTTACTTCGAGCTTTTTCCAAGTAATGATTGGCCCAGTCTGTGTAGATCTGAAACAGAGAATATCATTATAAAAACTTGCATCATAAACCGCAATGAGTCGGGGAATACAAATAAGCGTCAAGTGGAACTCCATGTTCGACATAATTAGATTAAAACGAAAAAGTAATTGCAAATTGTTTCGCGTACTTGGGCGTTTTTGGAAGCTGGTTTGGTAAAATTTTACTTCAGTGACTAAAGGTGTGCTTAAATAATAACTCTCCATCACTGATAACAACTCAACACTACTTTTCTTGCACAAAATTAATTTAAAACTTATTATTAACAAAGATTGTTTCTGTCATATGTCAAATAAACGTCAATTGTCCAGCCCCCTTCGATAAATAAACTTGTTGTCATTTCGGGCGAATGCGGGATGTGATTTTTGATTGTTTTTTATTTAAAAAATGCACAAAAAATTTTTGAGTTATCAAGCCTGAATGACACTAAAGTAAAATTTTACAGCTTCGAAAATGACACAATTTGGTTTTTATACTTTAGCTGTGTAATTTAGGTTCTGAAAAGACATGCATAAAACACTAAAATTGGCAACAATTACAATCATAAATAATAAAATCCCCTTAATTAAACACTTTTTTAGTACACAAAAAACGCAAAGCTACAGTCAAAGAGCGTGTAATATGGGTTGCCTAACACAAAGTTCATGTTTTTTATTAGAAATAAAATGTGGTTATATTTAAAAATGAAATGATTTTATTTAAAAAGATTTTATGTGGTTGTTTCTTTCCCATGAATAACTTTGCAACTTATTTCGACATTTTATTATTTAATAACAAAGCCCTGTGTTCCACAGCCTCTTAAACAAGGCTTTGGGTTAATAAAACGTTTGTTAGGCGAGTCTACGCGTGTTTCATGGTTGATTTTAATGAGACTTTGTTGTTAAATGTCACCGAACGCAGAACTGAATTAAATGGATGGTAATTTCTATTCATAAGTGTTGTCGTTGAATGTGTTACAATATAATTTAAATGTGTGGTAGGTTTAAACGGTGTAAAGGCATTTACATTTCGAATTTCAATTTTAATAATTTTTATTTTAATATAAGTTGAAAAAAAAATATGAAAAAAGATGTTTCCGCCCGGGATCGAACCGGGGACCTTCCGCGTGTTAGGCGGATGTGATAACCACTACACCACGGAAACTTGTTTGAAAGTACTAATTTCCGACAAAGTAGAAAGAAGTTAATCTTTTTTGTGATTAAATAGTAGATTACATACTGAGATAGAAAGTGTTTCATTTCTGTCAAAAAATTGAAAGGTTTAGTGAGATGCTTACGTCAAGACAGAAATTAATTTTCTACCAAGGTTCACAACCGCATCTTTAATTAATTTTCGTAAACGATGTGATAAGACTGATAAGTAATGAATTAAAGGTAGGTAATAGGAGGTCAGTAATGAGTCACTTTTCAGCCCACCTCAGAGTTCGAAAAGTCAACATTACATATACGAGTGTGAATAAATTAATTTCATATCGCTAAATGTAATTGAATTATATGTAAAAATAAAGCTTGAACATGTCTTTTAGTTCAGAATAGAAGTTGACAAACCATTGCCAATATAACATTATAAATAACAATCCACCTGATCAAAAATTTTATCAAAATCTCGGTCTAAAAGTGAGATTTTTTTAATTTACCTTTGACACATACCATATGTTTTTCTAAGAAAATTTTAATTCAAAACGCAAAAATCTGTCTTAATTATGACCCAGAAAATATGAAGACAAATACTTATTACTTATTGTGCTATCATAGTTCAAACTGATTTCCTAATGTTCCTAATGTAGGACTACAGTAAAACAATAAAACTTTCAAAATGAATTTCATCTAGTCGCTTATGGATTTTCCATGTATAATAAAAAATGCCGCTTAAAGTATATTGCATCTGATTATTAATTCAATTTATTTGACTGTTGAGAGAACTATCTAGTTCAAAAAGAGTAGAACGGCACAAAATAATTATATGTAAAAAAATTCCATAGACGACTAGATGAATATCATTGTACTATTATAACCAAAGAAATATGTATAAACAAAAAAAAAATATCATTAAAATGATAGTTAAATACTCAGATTTCGTAATGTTGAACTAAAATTATTTTGGCAACATTTCGGAATCACTCAATTCTTCCTCAGGTCATCAATTAAATTAACAAACTGCATGATACGCCAACATGGCAAAACTCTTGTCCTAATATTTGAAATTCACAAAGTTGGCTGTTAAATATTCCCTCTGTTCTAGTGTTATAAACTTGGTGATCACTATAACTCTTGAGTAAACAAAGTATACCGTTAAAAGGTTTATCCAAACTTGAAAACTCTCTTGCAAGAGAGAGAAAGTTCCAAAATAATTAAAATTTGAATACTTCAATAACTTATTTAATCAAAATTTCGATTAGTTTTGAAACGTGTTATTTATAAAGGCAGTCCCAATCTCAAAGGAATATAGAAGAAATATTAAAAAAAAGTTGACTCAGTTTATTTCAGTTGAAAAAATAATTTTGCCTCTTTTTTGCTGCAGGCTATAATTGTATAGTTCAAATTACAATTTCAACAGAGCGCAGTTTCGCTTGTAAAATTTGTTTTAAAACAATGACGAATTATAACCACAGTTGTGACAACAGTAATAAAACAATAATGTGAATCTGTTATCTATGATATCCTGCACTCATTTAACCCCGACGTATTAAGATGTCTGTCATAGATAGATACACTCAGTTTTTCTTTTCGAGTACAGAATCCCGTCCAAATATGGACCTCGAAGGGAAGTACAATAGAATGCAGCCACAAAAAACGAACACTTACAAGCCTCGGAATTATCTATCTCTATGACGCTGAAAGCTTTATTCATTTGATTTGAATGAGTTGACGGATGATTCATTTCAATAAGAAGTGATTGGTCATTACCTCCACAACCAGACGAGACAATAAAATTACCGTGAAACTGTTTAGGGGGAATGATTTCATAGTTATGTTTTGATGAAACGGTAGACGACGGAAATGTATAAATGAATTAAAAGCCAATACAATTTCCGGTAGTGGAGCCAATCGGATTATATCTGTTACAAATCGTAATATTCATGGTCATTGATCACCTGATGGGATTATAAAGAAGGGTGCTTTCAATGAAAAGTTTCAAATTGAATTTTATTGTGCCTAAATTCGAATTAATTTATCAGAAACTATTTTAAAAAATTCAAGAAAGAATTTAACCAAACATGAATAAGCGTAACCTCGACAAAAACAATAGAAACAATATGGAACAATATATCTGCCTGATACTAAACACAAATCAAAACCACACACAAAACATCTTCACGAATTACTACTGTAATGTTTGAACACTCAAAAATAACAAATCAGAAACAAAAGTCTCCACTTCAAAAGTGAAATAACTACAGCGTTTATGATTCTGGAAATCAGATAATAAAACAATCTCTTCCCAGACACAATTACTTTCTTGAATCATCTTTAATTCCACGATTAAACAAACGCACTTCAAATGATATCAAATTATTATCAAACCAAAAATTATTTTTTAATTCAAAATCTGTGCCATTACAGATAACCAAACAGATGCTGTTAGGATAACAACATTTTAAATACATGGCAGACACGTGTAGTTTAAATAGAAATTTTGATTTTTTTACCGTAAATTTAGGCAAAAATCAAGTGCTACTGTCAAAAATTTGATATTTTAAACAATAAATTTTAAAATGTTTTTATATTTGCCCTTTTGCCAGAGTCATCTCTGAGGTGCTGATTTTTTCTTGCGAAGAGATTCTTTTGTGACCGAGATGTAGTTTTAGTTCACTAAGTAACAGGCCAGAATTTGATTTTTTGTTTAGTCATCTTAGGGTCGGTTTCTGAAACGATTTATCGTTAGATAAATTTTATCGGTTCCATAATTGCTATTGAAACACCAATCAGATCAGCGCTAACTTAGTAACTATCGAACTGATAAAATTTATCTAGTGCTAATTCATTCCAGAAACCGGGCAATAGTTTTATAGATAATCTTGTGATCACGCAGTATTTCCTATTGTAATTTGTGCTCGTAATGTCTAAAACAATGATTACTTCGTGATTGTTAATTTTAAAAATGTAACAATCTTTAAAAAAATTGTCAAAAAACAGATTTTTTGTTTCTAATATTGCATTTTAATCGTGAAAAATGCCTATTATCAAAAATTATATTATTATAATTATTATAAAAAACGCCCCAAGCCATATAACTCTATTATTTTTAAAGATATTACATTACTTCTTGAATAGTTTCTTGTCATCTATTGTTTGGCGTAGATGCTCAATCAATGCTGCTTCCTGTTTCACGGGAAGTGACATTAATTTCAGTTTTTTATATGTAACACCCTGTATATTTTATTATTTTTAGATTCCTCATAAAATTGTCTTTCAACAAGCTTACTTACTAGCTTACTTACTATTATTTTTTTTACTATTTTTTTTTTATTTTAGGCAATTTGAAAATTAAATTAAATAAAGTAGGCTGTGGAAAATAAAACATTTTTATTCACTTTATCTAAGTCAAGCAAACAGTTGATAACGAAAAACTGTTACATTTTGAGCAAAAAAGTATTATAACGTCTTTAAAAGTATTGAAATTATGGCTTTGGGCGTTTTTTCCAATACAGCCTGTAGATATAACGAAATCTTGCGGCACGAATAATGATTATACAAGGTGATGCAAAAGTGTCAGGCCAACTCTCGAATGGTGGTAGAAGACTTTGAGCTAAGCATCAAAATAAATACAATTTTTTTTGAGAAAAAATTGAACAATTTTTAGAATTTTTTTTCACAATTATTGTTTATTAACTTAAACTTAAAAATTCAAAAAAATCTGGGACAAATTGTTTATTATCAAAATTAATTGATAATAGAGTGATTCATACAACAATGTAATAACAAACTAAACATTGTTCTAAAATGGCCAGTGATAACAAAATCAAATAAATCAATTTTTAGGTTTTTATGACAAAATTTAAGATTCGTAATTCGTAAAATTTGCTATACAACGTAGTGCCTACATCCAAATAAAAAAAAATCAAACATTAATACATAACAAAATTTACAATTTATATATTTAAAAAAGATTTATTGTTGCACTAATAATATTTAGTAACCGTTAAAAATTCCTGTAAACTAAAGAAAAAAAATCCCACTAGATTTAGTTCTACGTTTTGAGACAAAATAGTAACCATACACAAATTTTACACAATTTAATAACTGAAGACTGAATAATAATACATACTTGTAGATGACTCTTTTAGATATAAAAGGCGAAAATTATTCTCCACATTTCCGTATGTGCTAATTTATTCAAAAATTAAGAAAAAAACAAAGCAAAATTTTAACCGATTGCGAAACATTGCAAACTATGAAAACCTGAAAACGCTTTTTGATATCGTTACAAAGCAATTGAGATACCGCATGCATGAGAAGGTACTTCATACCAGCAGATAATGATTCGAACAATTGTATTAATACCAGACGAAAATAAAATTTAGATCAGTTTAAAATACTTGCTAGAATCATGTGTATGAAATCCAATATTCTTTTCTGTCTACTTTTAATCTCTTCGGTGCTTTGTGATAATAATATTATTAATTTCTACGATGAATTTTTTAACGAGGTAGTGAATAAAAAAGAGCTAACTGCTCAAATTAGAAATAAATTAGGTAATTCGAATGAAGCCAATGATGCAATGATTAAGAGTAAGTTTTTTTTTGGTAAAATTCAGAAGAAACATGATTGTTTTCAGTGTTGGATGCTTGGTCAAAATTTCCTAGTGGTATATTAGAAGGCAATTGGATGGATTTGGGAAGTTTTGATGAATGCTATGGCATTGAATATAATAAAATTTATGGGAAATATTGTCTGGGAAGTATAAAATTTAAACCTCAAACAGAAAAATATTTTAAAAATTTAGGAATCACCGATGTAAAACCGCGTCCTGTAAGTGTTTTGACTAAATCGATGCTTAAATCAGTGTTTTCCGCCAAAAAAGCAATTTTAGCCACTTCTAATAGATTTTTGCTTGATCTTAAGCCAAAGCTCAATCTGAATAAAATCACTTAAATCTTAATTCTCGGCCAAAGTAAAGCCACATTTTGAACGATTTTTATCCATGACATATTCTAAATCAATGAATTTTAACAAAATAATTACTTGCAGAGAATTTCGCTGCACCCAGAACCCAGATTGATAGGTTTAGGTGAGGATTATATAGGTCTTCATTTTGCTGCATGTGTACCAAGTACCATGTCAGCAGCTGAAATCCCCGGACTTTTCAACTATACGGAAGACTTTTGTTATTCTAAAGCAACAGAACCGGAATTATCAGCGGGAGCAATTGTGACGATAACAATTCTAGCAGTTTTCCTGTGTTTAGTGGTTGTTTCAACCTGCTATAATATTGCACTAGACTACTTCAAAAAAGGTGAAAAATACTTGACTGTGACTGAGTCAACTTAACTTATTTTACAGAACCTTACCACGAATTGCTTATTGCATTTTCTTTTCTTCACAACGGACGAAAACTCTTCCGGTCAAGCAAAAATTCAGATCAACTTCTTTGTCTAAATGGAATCAAAGCACTAAGTATGATGTGGGTCATTATTGGACACGAATTTTCAAATGCTTTTAATGCTCCACTTTCTAACTTTTTTGCCATGAAAGACGTAAGTTTTTGTGCAACAAAGTCAACAGTAGAAAAATGTCAGTTTTAGTGGCAAAATGATCCCGCCAATATGTTTATATCAGGAGCCACAGTCTCCGTTGACACATTTTTCGTCGTTGGAGGTCTTGTGACAGTTTACACATTTTTGAAATCAATGGACAAAGAAGCAAAATTCAATGTATTTCTTTTCTACGTCCATAGATATCTTAGACTAACACCTGCGTACTTTGTGGTGGGTTTAATACACCTTTTCCTTCTAAACCACTTCGGAAATGGACCATTGTGGAAAGTTGTCGATATAAGTCTAGTTGACACTTGCGAAACAGGGTGGTGGAGTAGTCTATTGTACATTGCAAACTATGTTGAAAAAGGAATGACTGTAAGCATCTTTAATTAAACAAAATTCTTAACTTTAATACCAAATTTTAGTGTGTGCCTCAAACTTGGTATCTTCAAGTCGACATGCAATTGTTTATCTTATCACCAATCGTTCTTATACCATTATTTAGGTGGCCTAAAATTGGTTTAGGTGCTTTAGGATTCTTAATAATTGCCGGATGTGTATCTCCATTTGTGATTGGTTACGTTAAGCATTTAGGAGGTGGGATGTTAAATAATAAGTAAGTAAAACGAAAGAATTTATTACACACTAGTAAATAATTCTACAGGGATTCACAAGCTTTTATGAATTATTATTACGCTGCGACATATGCCCGATTTGGACCATATGTTATCGGAATGCTTGCTGGCTACTTCTTGTACAAGATTAAAACAAGCAAAGTGAAAATTCACTTGAAATGGGTAATGTTTTTGTTCTTGTTACAAGTAAAAAAACTAAAACTTTTTTCAGTGGCAGGTTATAACTCTTTGGTTAGTGGTTTTAACCGGTCTAGTGGCCTGTGTCTGGGCCGGTTATCCATTAAATATGGCTACAGAAGAAGATCGATGGGGAAATTCAATGTTTTTGGCTTTTAATAGACCTGCATGGGCTGTCGCAGTCGTGGGAGTAATTTTCTTGTGTGTGGCTGGCTATGGAGGACCTATCGATAAATTTCTTTCATGGTCAGTTTTTCAATTTTTGACTAAACTTTCTTACTCTATGTATTTGGTACATTATGCTGTCATTATAATCAGATATTCACTCTTGAGAAACAATATCAAATTTTCTAATCTTGCAATGGTAAGTCTTGTCATTATCTTAAGTTCATTTAATAAAATTCTGTTTTTAGATGCACGCATTTTGGGGAGATTTTATGTTTACGTTAGGTTTATCCCTGATTCTGTGCTTAACTTTCGAATCTCCAATTATAATTCTTGAAAAATATCTCTTTCATAGAAGTCCCAAAACGAAAAATGTAAAACAGTAATTATCAATTATGTGTAATTAAGTAAATTTAAAAATATATTTAATTTGTAATAAAACTTTAAATTATTTATTCTTTTATCGTTCCATTTCATGGGTATATGGTTGTCTAAAATTAATTTAATTTTTGTGGCTTCAAAAAAATAGAAAAACCCAAAAGTGAAAGTTTTATAAAAATTTAAGCCAAATAAAACATTTTCTTAATAAGCCTTACTCTGATGGTCTTGTTTTTTTGTTTTTTGTTATTCCTTTAACAAAAGAGAAGAAGAGCTAAATCGCAAAACGTTGTTGCTTCTCTTTACCTCTTACCTTCTTATCTCTTATCTTTTTATTTCTTGATGGAAGAAAAAAAATAAAAAGGGTTAAAGCCAGTTCCATAATCAAATTAAAGATACTTTAAGGTAGTCCGTAATAATTAGCACATTCTAAACAATATTTAATTTAATGCTTTTTTAAATTCCATTATAAAACTGGCCCTTCAGTAGCAAAATTAAATGTTTTGATAATTGAGGAATACAAAAAAATAAACATAATAGTAATGGAATTTATTCTAAAGATGATTCATAAAAGTGATTCTAAAAGTGATTCATATAATAAGTACCTCATCATGACCACAGATTCATAAACATACTCATCATTTATAGGTTTCCATTACAAAATTTAAGATGTCTTTGTGTACGAGTATAAACATATAATTCACACGTCAAAATACAACCTATATTCAAATAAAAAACCTTCAAAACCAAAAATAAAAAAATATGAAAAAAGCGTACATAAAACTTTTGCAACTATAAATAACTGTTAAAGTCTGCTGTTTGAAAAAAAAACGTAAAACATTTTGTAAGGTAATTCTTTAGGTCAATATAAAAAAAAGCTTCTATATGACTATATCCTGAAACGCTTCCTAAAGAAGCTAAAGCACTCAAAGAGAAAAATGGTAAATTACCTCTCAGAAAGAAAAAAAAAATTACCTCCCTGAGAGGTAAAACTTTTCCTCCCTTATCTGTCAAAATACATGAAAATATACGTAACCTCTCGAAAGGGTAAAAATTTTTCGCTCCATTTCCTAAGCATATAATTGTCTAAATTAATTTAATATTTGTGACTTTCAAAAAATAGAAAGACCCAAAAGTGAAAGTCAAAAGTATAAGCGAAATAAAACATTTTTTTAATAAACCTTACTCTATTGGCCTTGTTTTTTATTATTCCTTTATAAAATGTTACAAGTAAAAAAAGAAGAAGGGCTAAATCATAAAACGTTGTTGCTTCTTCTTATCTCTTATCTCCTTATCTTTTTGTGTTAGAAGAAAAAAAAAGTCTTAAGTATTAAAATTAAATAACAATTGATAAAACACCTAATTCGTAGAGTTCGGAATACAACCCATATTAAATAAAAAAAAATTAAAAAAAACAAGGATAAAAAACCCTAAAAAATATGTAAAAAAATACTTACATAAAACCTTTGCAACTATATAAAAATAACTGTTGAAGCCTGCTATTTACGTTCTTCAAAAAAAAAACGTAAAAAATTTTGGGAGGTGATTCTTTAGGTCAATATAAAAAAAAATATATGACTATATCCGGAAATGCTTCTTAAAGAAGCTAAAGCACTCTGAATTTACTTTTGAAAAAAAGTGGTCAATTACCTCCCAGAAAGATATAAATTTTACTTCCCTAAAAGGTAAAACTTTTCCTCCCTTATCTGTCAAAATACAAAAAATATATGTAACCTCTCGGAAGGGTAAAAATTTTATCGTCTTTTACCTCTCCTAACAGAAAAACATGCTGCTAAACTTAATAGCGAAACTGACACATCAAGAGAAATTGTTAGTTTTGAAGTTTTTCTTGATGGATCGTAGAAAAAATTATATGTATTACACTGGAAGAAATTGGTTACTGCCATCGACAAGTAAAAGATACATAATGAAACATGATTTTAAAAAGCATATTTTTTTCTTTTTCGTTTCTTTCCCTAGGTATACAGGGTGAATATAAAGTATGAAACCAAGCGGTTTCTTTTTAAATCATTTCCCTCCAGAAAATAACAATTAATTTGAAGTAAAGTAATATAAACAATGTGATCGTATTTTGAGAACAAAATTTTGTTTTGTTTTTGCATTATGCGATTTTTTTTGTTAAAATTGCAATTTATGTAATTTTTTTAAAATTAAATATAAAGTAGATAGTTGTAATCCTTTCATCATAATCTTCATGAAAAAAAATGGTTTTATAGTGGGTTGCCATTTAAAAAAAATATTTTTTTTTGTAGAACTCAAAAACAAAAGAAAATTACGAAAAATTTTATTCTTGATGAAACATTACATTTTTATAGTTTATAGTAAAAAACGTATGGTTCCATACTTTTTATTCAGCTGGTATGATTGTCTAAAATTAATTTAATTTTTGTGACTTCCAAAAAATAGAAAGACCCAAAAGTGAAAGTTTGATAAAAGTTTTCTTAACTATAACTTAGACCTTAAGCTAACAATAAATTTAAAATAAAAACAGTATTACTGAAAATACAAATGCAGATATAAAATGAGATAATGATGAACACTAAGCTCTCAATTACTTCGAGAAAACCTTGTCAATTATCTTTTATCTCCACAATTACTACAATTAGTTGTTGATAAAAAAAGTTCTAATAACTTTCCGAAAAAAAATTAACATTGCAAGATGCGTACATAAACTTTTCAGCCAAAGAAACACTTTAAAGACCACGGCTCATGTACATACATGTATTGTATCAAGTTCTTCGTTCTTCCCTCCACCTATCAATATTTTCTTTAAGCTTTTCTTTAAGCGTAACCTCGACAAAAACAATAGAAACAATTTTGAACAATATATCTGCCTGACACTAGACAAAAATCAAAACCAAACACAAAACATCTTTAATGTTTGAACACTCGAAAATAACAAATCAGAAACAAAACTCTCCACTTCGAAAATTAAATAACTACAACGTTTATGATTCTGAAAATCAAGTAATAAAAGAATCTCTTGCCAGACACTATTACTTTTATGAATCATCTTTAATTTCACGCACCTCAAATGATTAATTATTATCAAACCAAAAATTATCTTTGAATTCCTATTATAATGATTATTATTCGTTATGTCTACACAATGATTAATTCGTGATTGTTAATTTTAAAAATGTTACAATCTTTTAATTATTTATCAAAAAACACATTTTTTGTTTCTAATATTAAATCTTAATCTTAAAAAACGCCTATTAACAGAACAAAATGAGAAAATATAAAATGCAGGGTGAGCCAGAACTCGCGCCCCAGTGAAAAATGCCATGTAAAATAAGATACCAGGAACATGAAAAATGTTAAAAAAATTCTATCTATAAAAATTTTGAAGTTATGAGATTTTAAATTTTGCACTTTGACTCTATCTATTTCTGTTAGAAAAATAGTTTTCCAAGTTTTTTTTTGCTACAGGCTATTAGAAGAGGATACAGGGAAACTCTATCCTAAATTGTAACTCTGTTTAAGGTTATTTGTGGCTTTTATTGTCAAAATTTTTGTACCTTTACTAAATAATTATAAAAAAACATATACAATATCATCAGTGTCATTAAATAGACATAAGAAAGTGTCAAAAAATAAATGTCAAAATTTTTTGACAGAATTTTTTTAACATTTTTTTTTTCATGTTCCTGGTATCTCATCTTACTTGAAATTATTCTCTGGGGCGCGAGTTCTGGCGCACCCTGTACATAACAAATTCTTGCAGTACAAATAATAATAAATAAAATAATGATTATACAGGGTAATACTCGTAGAAAGTGTTGGGCCAACTATCGAATGATGGTAGAAGACTTTGAGTTAAGCATCAAAGTAAATGCTTTTTTTTGAGAAAAAATAGAACAATTTCCATATTATCATGTAAGCATCTTCTGTTTTGTTTCCGATGTTGTCGGATTTAATTTGTGGTTAAATTTGCTAGTTTGTTATATGTTTTGCACAACATAAGACACAAATTGGTGAGTTCTTTCAATAACTAAATTCAAAAACACATCATCTGAACGGCAAAAAACGTAACCCAAAATTTAACCTTTAAAGAGTTATATCTTGTGAAAAAAACTCAAACATTTTTTTGTCTTGGAAACTTTTAAACAGTTGGATGTCCTTTATCACCACCCCAGAGATGGCTCGATACTTTTGAATCACCCTGTATGGTATTACGGTGTTTTCAGGATTTATAATAATGTCATAACCTTTCTACATTATTCAGTATCTTGTAACCATTTTTGTGAACGTGTTATTTATTGTATTGTTGTACTTATCGATTTTGACAATTGAAAACTGAAAACATGAAAACCTTTTTGATATCGTTACAAAGCAATTGAAATTCCTCATGCATGAGAAAGTACTTCATACAAGCCAGATAATGATTAGGACAATTCTATTAATACCAGAGGAAAATCAAAGTTTTGATCAGTTTAAAATACTTGCTAGAATCATGTGTATGAATTCCAATATTCTTTTCTGTCTACTTTTGATCTCTTCGGCGCATTGTGATAATAATATTATTAATTTCTACGATGAATTTTTTAACGAGGTAGTGAATAAAAAAGAGCTAACTGCTCAAATTAAAAATAAATTAGGTAATTCGGATGAAGCCAACAATGCATTGATTAGGAGTAAGTTTTTTTTTTGGTAAAACCCAGAAGCAACATGGTTGTTTTCAGTGTTGGATGCTTGGTCAAAATTTCCTAGTGGTATACTAGAAGGCCATGTGATAGATCTGGGAAGTTTTGATGAATGCTACGGAATTGAATATAAAAAAAATTATGGGAAATATTGCCTGGGAACTATGAAATTTAGCCCTCAAACAGAAAAATATTTTCAAAGTTTTGGAATCACCGATGTAAAGACGCGTCCTGTAAGTATTTGTTGTAAAATTGTCACTTGAGTCTAGATTACAATTTGTAGGTTATTATGCTACACCCTGAACCCAGATTGATAGCATTAGGTGCGGATTATATGGGAATTCATTTTGCTGCATGTGTACCAAGTACCATGTCAGCAGCTGAAATCCCCGGACTTTTCAACTATACGGAAGACCTTTGCTATTCTAAAGCAACAGAACCGGAATTATCATCGGGAGCAATTGTGACGATAACAATTCTAGCAGTTTTCCTGTGTTTAGTATTTGTTTCAACCTGCTATAATATTGCACTAGACTACTTCAAAAAAGGTGAAAAATACTTGACTGTGACTGAGTCAACTTAACTTATTTTACAGAACCTTACCACGAACTGCTTATTGCATTTTCTTTTCTACACAACGGACGAAAACTTTTCCGGTCAAGCAAAAATTCGGATCAACTCCTTTGTCTAAATGGAATCAAGGCAATAAGTATGATGTGGGTCATCATTGGACACGAATACTCACATGTTATGAATGTTCCAATTTCTAACTTTTTTGCCATAAAAGACGTAAGTTTTTGTGTAACAAAGTTAACAGTAGAAAAATGTCAGTTTTAGTGGCAAAACGATCCTGCCAATATGTTTATATCAGGAGCCACAGTGTCCGTTGACACATTTTTCGTCGTTGGAGGTCTTGTGACTGTTTACACATTTTTGAAATCAATGGACAAAGGACTGAAATTTAATGTTTTACTCTTCTACGTCCATAGATATCTTAGACTAACACCTGCGTACTTTATAGTGGGTTTAATACATCTTTTCCTTCTAAACCACCTCGGAAATGGACCATTGTGGAAAATTGTCGATGTAAGTCTAGTTGACAGTTGCAGAACAGGGTGGTGGAGTAGTCTATTGTATATAGCAAACTATGTTCAAAAAGGAATTGTAAGTTTGTTTAAAAAAAATAAAATTCTTAATTTAATATAAATTTTAGTGTGTGCCTCAAACTTGGTACCTTCAAGTTGACATGCAGTTGGTTATTTTATCACCAATCGTTCTTATACCATTGTTTAGGTGGCCCAAAATTGGTTTAAGTGCTTTAGGATTCTTAATAATTGCGGGATGTGTATCTCCGTTTGTGATTGGTTACGCTAAGAATTTAGGAGGAAGGATGTCAAATAATAAGTAAGTAAAACAAAAAAATATATTACAAGTTAATAAATAATTCTATAGTAATACCGAAGATTATACGAATTATTACTATATTACGGCATACGCCCGATTTGGACCATATGTTATCGGTATGCTAGCTGGATACTTCTTGTATAAGATTAAAACCAACAAGATAAAAATTCACCTAAAATGGGTAATATTGTTTGTGCTTGTAGCAAGTGGAAAATTAAAAACTTTTTGCAGTGGCAGGTTATAACTCTTTGGTTAGTGGTTTTAACCGGTCTAGTGGCCTGTGTCTGGGCCGGTTATCCTTTAAATGTGGCTACAAAAGAAGATCGATGGGGAAATTCAATGTTTTTGGCTTTCAATCGACCAGCGTGGGCTGTGGCAGTCGTGGGAGTAATTTTCTTGTGTGTGGCTGGCTATGGTGGACCTATCGACAAATTCCTTTCATGGCCAGTTTTTCAGTTTTTGACTAAACTTTCTTACTCCATGTATTTGGTACATTATGCTCTCATTATAGTCAGATATGCACTTTTGAGAAACAATATCAAATTCTCTAATCTTGCAATGGTAAGTCTTGTCATTACCTTAAGATTCATTTGATAAATTTCTCTTTTAGATGCACGTATTTTGGGGAGATTTTATGTTTACGTTAGGTTTATCCCTGATTCTGTGCTTAACTTTCGAATCTCCAATTATAATTCTTGAAAAATATCTTTTTCATAGAAGTTCCAAAACGAAAAATGTAAAACAGTAATTATCAATTATGTGTAATTAAGTGAATTTAAAAATATATTTAATTTGTAATAAAAATTATTTATTCTTTTTCGTTCAATTTCTTATGGAACAAAGGTATATAATTGTCTAAAATTAATTTCATTTTTGTGACTTACAAAAAATAAAAAGACTCAAAAGTGAAAAGTTTATAAAAGTTTAATCCAAATGAAAAATTTTCTTAATAAGCCTTACTCTGTTGGTCTTGTTTGTTATTATTCCTTTACAAAATGTTTCAAGCAAAAAGAGAAGAAGAGCAAAATCGCAAAAGGTTATTGCTTCTCTTTATCTTTTATCTTCTTCTTATCTTTTATTTCTTGGTGTGAGAAAATAAAATAAAAAAGGCTTAAGGCCAGTTTCATAATCAAATTGAAGAGACTTTAAAGTTAATGTTGGTTTAGAATATAAAATTTCTGTGAAGTAGTTTGTAATAATTAGCACACTCTAAACAATATTTAATTTATTGCTTTTTTAAATTCGATTATAAAACTGGCCCTTAAGTAGCAAAATTAAATATTGCAATTCAAAAAAGTAAACATAATAGTAATAGAATCCAATCTAAAGATTACTCATAAAGGTGATCCTAAAAGTGATTCATATATATAATTCATATATAAGTACCTCATCGTAACTACAGATTCATAAACATAATCATCATTTATACGTTTATTACAAAATTTAAGATGTCTTTGTGTGCGAGTTCAAAATACAACCCATATTCAAATAAAAAAATTTGAAACCCAAAAATAAAAAAAATATGTAAAAAAAAACTTACATAAAACTTTTGCAATTATAAAAAAGCCTTATATATGACTATATCCGAAAATGCTTCCTAAAGGAGCTAAAGCACTCTGAATTTAATTTTCAAAAAGAAAAGTGGTTAATTACCTCTTAGAAAGAAAAAAAAATACCTCCCTGAGAGGTAAAACTTTTCCTCCCTTATCTGTCAAAATACATAAAAATATACGTAACCTCTCGAAAGGGTAAAACTTTTATCGTCTTTTACCTCTACTAAGAGAAAAACATGCTGCTACATTTAATAGCGAAACTGAGACATCAAGAGAAATTGTTAGTTTTGAAGTTATTCTTGATGGATCGTAGGTTTAATTATATGTATTACACTGGAAGAAAGTGGTTACTGCCATCGACAAGTAAAAGATACATAATGAAACATGTTTTTTAAAAATCATATTCTATTCTTTTTCGTTCCATTCCAAACCAACCTTCATGAGAATAATTGTTTTATAGTGAGTTGCCTTTTAAAAAAATATTTTTTTGTAGAACTCAAAAACAAAAGAAAATTTCGAAAAATTTTATTCTCAATAAAACATCACATTTTTTTAGAATTTCATCATTCATCAATTAGTTTTTCCAAAAAATAAATAGTATAAGCAAAAAACGTTTGCTTCTATACTTTTTATTCACCTGGTATGAATGTCTAAAAGTAATTTAATTTTTGTGACTTCCTAAAAACAGGAAGACCCACACGCAAAAGTTTGATAAAAGTTTCCTTAACTATAAGCCAAGTGAAACATTTTCTAAATAAGCCTTTCTCTGTTGGCCTTTTTTCTGTTTATTATTATTACTTTGTAAAATGTTACAAGTAAAAAAGAAGAAGAGCTAAATAATAAAACGTTGTTCTTCTTTTATCGCCAAAATATTTAAGTGTTAGATTGTTAGATATTAATAGAAGAAAATAATATTTTGCAAAACATTGGAAGTTTTGTCTGTGATTTTATGTTTCTTCAATTATGTATTAAAATTCTTGAAAAATATATTTTCAAAAAAGTTAAAAAATAAAAATTATCCTTCGATTAAATCATAATTATTGAAAAATTTCTGTTCCATAAAAGCCCAAAAAATTAACTAAAAAATAATTAGGCAACAGTACTCCTACGTACAAGTAGAAGCAATTTTTTCTGTAAATATGAAATACAAATAAATATTTAATTTATTATAAAACTCAAAAAACTTAATCTTCAGCGTCACTTTTCTTACTTACGGAGAAACAATTGTCAGTAATTACTTTTTAGAAAACCAAAAATTAACTGATTACTTAGAATTCACAAGCTAACGATAATTTAAAATAAAAAACAAAGTATTTCTGAAAACACAAATGCAGATATAGAATGAGATAATGATGAACACGAGGCTTTCAATTATGTCTACAAAAACTTGTCAATTACAAGTACCTTTTATCTCTGCAATTACTACAATTAGTTGTTGATAAATAAAGTTCTAATAACTTTAAGAAAAAACAACAATTATTTAACATTGCAAGTAAACCTTTCAGCCAAAGAAACACTTTAAAGACCAAGGCCGTAAAGGTCTCTGAGGCAATGAAAAGGGCTTATGAATCATGTATTGTCCTTCCCACCACATCAATATTTTCTTTATAAAAAAATAAAACCAAATTTGCGGCTAATTTCGGGCCCAAACACTCAATCCTCAAATTAAGAATTTTTGTAAATAAAAGATTAATATTTCCAAGTTTGAACGTTTGTTGTTGTTTCTCAAAAATGATGGATACCAACTTTAGAAGTCACAGGTTGTATTTCAACTCCGATGCTTTTTATGAAATCACTTCCACTTTCGGTTGCAACAATCTAATCAGAATAGTAAACCCGATTTCTGCTTGGGAAAGAATTTTTTTTAATAAACAATCATTTCTGGTAATCAAAAAACGCCCCAAATGATCTTAAAAAAATATTTTCAAAAACAAGAAAATAGTACCAACGTTTTTCGCAACATGAAACTTGCTTCCTTATTTTTTACAGTCATATTCATATTTTAACCACAAAAACAAAAACGAAACTAAAAATATGGGTCGCACTTACAAAAAAAAAAAACATTCTACTCAATTATTCCCCGAAATGAACTTTGGATGGTTTCTCAGCAAACGTGCGTAAGGGAAGAAAGTACTTCATATAAATCTGATAAGGATTGGGACTACTATAAATACAAGATGAAAATCTAGATTCTAATCAGTCCAAAATACTCATTAGAACGAAAAATGAGTTCTAAAACTAGTTTCTTTTTATTCCTTCTGTTTTTTTATAGTTCAGTGCTTTGTGATAGAAATACTAATGAAATTTACGAGGTAGTAGACAGACAAAAGCTGTCTGTTCTAATCAAAACAAAATTGGGTGATTCAGATAACGCCAACAGCGCAATGATTAAAAGTAAAGTTTTTTTGAAAAAAAACTCAATAACATGCTTGGTTTCAGTGTTGGATGCTTGGTCAAAATTACCTAGTGGCCTGCTAGAAGGCAAATTAATGGATTTGGGAAGTTTTGACGAATGTTATAGCATCGAGTATAACAACATTTACGGAAAGTATTGTTTAGGCACGTTACCATTTAGTACAGAAACAGAGAAATACTTCAAAAAATATAATATTAGCAATGCTAAGCCTCCTCCTGTGAGTCTAAGTTGTGCAACTCTTTCTTGAGTACTAAGTTACAAATTGTAGAACCTTTTTCTAAATCCACAACCCAGAGCAATGGTTGGAGATAAACTAGGAATTACAATTGCTGCGTGTATACCAAGTACTATGTCAGCAGCTGAATTGCCAAAACCTTTAGATTTCACAAATGACTTCTGTTATTCTAAAGCGACAAAATCGGAATTGTCGCCAGGAGCAATTGTGACAATAACAATTCTAGCAATTTTTCTGTGTTTAGTGATTGTTTCAACCAGCTATGATATTGCACTAAACTACTTCAAAAAAGGTAAATTTTACAATTAACTAGTTAAAACTTATTATTTTATATTTTATTATTATTTTATAGAACCTTACCACGAACTGTTGATTGCATTTTCGTTCTATCACAATGGTTGCAAACTCTTCCGTTCAAGCAAAAACTCCGATCAACTCCTTTGTCTAAATGGAATCAAGGCAATGAGCATGATGTGGGTCATAATTGGACACGAATACTCAAATGTTCTAACTGCACCTTTATCTAATCTCCTGGACCTAGTAGATGTATGGAATTGTACAAAAGTGCCCAAAATAGTAAAACATTTTTTATTAATTTTAGTGGTTTAATGATTCCGCCAATATGTTTATATCAGGAGCCACAGTCTCCGTTGACACATTTTTCGTAGTTGGAGGTCTTGTAACAGTTTACACATTTTTGAAATCAATGGACAAAGGAGCAAAGTTCAATGTTTTACTTTTCTACCTTCATCGGTATCTCAGACTAACACCTGCGTATTTTATAGTTGGTTTAATACACGTTTACCTCTTAAATCATTTCGGTAATGGACCATTGTGGAAAACTGTAGATACAAGTCTAGTCGAGACATGCAAACAAGGATGGTGGAGTAGTCTCTTGTATATAACAAATTATGTGCAAGAAGGCACTGTAAGTGTGTTTAACGAAACATTCGCACATTTAAGCGTAAATTTCAGTGTTTGCCTCAAGCTTGGTACCTCCAAGTCGATATGCAATTGTTTGTCTTGTCACCCATCATTCTTATACCACTCCATAGATGGCCCATGATTGGTTTAGGTGCTTTAGGTATTTTGACAATTGCAGGATGCGTCTCGCCGTTTGTGATTGGTTATGTAAACCATTTCAAAGCTATGATGTTATCAAATGCGTAAGTAAAACTAAAAATCTTATCAGAAATCACTTTAAACATGATTCTTTAGGGATATGTTAGGATTTAGTTACAATTATTATGGTGCAACTTATGCTCGATTTGGTCCATATGTTATCGGTATGCTTGCTGGATACTTCTTGTACAAGATTAAAACCAACAAGATTAAAATTCACCTAAAATGGGTAATGCTGTTTGTGCTTGGTACAAGTAGAAAACTAAAACTTTTATCAGTGGCAGGTTATAACTCTTTGGTTAGTGTTTATAACCGGTCTAGTGGCCTGTGTCTGGGGCGGTTATCCATTATATGTGTCGACAGAAGAAGATCGATGGGGAAATTCAATGTATTTGGCTTTTAATCGATCAGCGTGGGCTGTGGCAGTAGTGGGAGTAATTTTCTTGTGTGTGGCTGGCTATGGTGGACCCATTGACAAATTCCTTTCATGGCCAGTTTTTCAATTTTTGACTAAACTTTCTTACTCTATGTACTTAATACATTTTACCGTTATTGTTGTCAGATATACACTCTCGAGGAACAGCATAAAATTCTCCAATCTTGCAATGGTAAGTTTATACAAATTTTGAAGTGATCTTTAGTAGCAAAATATGTCTTTTTTATTTAGATGCATGTCTTTTGGGGTGATTTTATGTTTACTTTGGGTTTATCTCTAATTCTGTGCTTAACTTTCGAATCTCCAATCATAATTATGGAAAAGTATCTCTTTCATAGAAGCCCCAAAACAAAAAATGTAAAACAGTAATTAATAATTAATTAAGTAAACATGAAAATATATTTAATTTGTACTAAATCTTTGAATTATTTATTCCTCATCCTTCCTTTCCTTTACTTATAGTGAGTTTGAAAAAATTAAAAAAACCCAAAAACATAAATTTGAGAAATCAAACATTTTCTAGATAATCCTTCTCTACTGCCTTCTTTCTTTTAGGATTTTCTTATTCAATCCCACAAATGGCAAAAAAAGAACTAACTCATCAAGTGGCTCTTCTCCTTATTTCACTAAAGTTTTTATGCAACCATTAACAAAAAAAATTGTTTTTGCAGAACCCTATGTATGTGTGTAAAATTCCAAACTCAAGTGAGCCATCCTTTGTAATTCTTCCTTTTTCAAAAAAAGGAACGCATACTCAAAAGAGTCTAATCATGAAACGTATCAAAAGATTACTTGGATTATTTGAGATTTCATGTATCTTCTTATCTGTTATCGCTAAAGCTTTTCAATGTAGCGGATGACAATACTTTTAAGCAGAACGGAAAAACTCTTACAAAAAACAACCTCATGCTTGACCAGGCCTTTTCGAAAATCTTATCCAAAAACTGTTTTGAAACAAAAACTAATTATAGTATACAGTAATCATTCAAAAGCTTTTTTCTAAACTAATTAGAATCATCTAGGCACCAAATAAATTAAATATTGACTATAAAATTTAGATGCTGAGTTTTAAAATGGCACTTTTGAGAAATAATATAGCTTTCTCTAAAATTGTACCGGTAATTACCAATTAGTATTGTCATAACCTCAAGTATTGTTTGATAAAATTTATTTTTAGTCACACTTGTTTTGGAATGGTTTTAAGTTTGTCAATATTTTATGCTTCATTTTCAAATCTTCTATCATAACTCTATAAAACACCTAAATCAAAAAGAATAAAACAATAATCATTAGGTTCCTACGTGAAGATAGATTAAAAAACATATTCGTACATCTTTCTATGTGCGTGGATAGAGTACAAAAACCTGTTATAAAACCTTAAGTTATAGACTCTTTATCCTCTCTATGTGTAATGCTTTTGGTACATAAACTTAATTTTCAAAATTCGTGTCAAAAGTTTTGCAGAAGAATGACGAAACTTACTTTATTTTATCATTTAATTAATAGTTGCTATTTCTACCATAACAAGTAAAAAAAACACAAAAAACATGTCTTTAAAATTTACTTCGAGTGTTTAATTCTTCTTAAATATTGTCTGAATAATGTCTTTTATAATTTTGGGTATAAAGTTAAAGAGTTAAACATTTATAAATAATAGAAATACCAAAAATAACTCACTAATACTAAAAACACGAAAAAAACTATAAAAACAACATATTGCAATATTGCAAAAATTTCTGAATTTAGACCCACGTCATTAACATCTTTTAAATTATTATTTCCGAATAAGGACATAAAGCTATGTACTTCATTAGACACTTGATAGAAATCAGATAATGATCAAAACCGTTAAATATCAGAGGATTATAAACAATTCAACTAGTTTGAAATTGTATTAAAATAAAACATGTTTTCCAAAAGTAAAATTTTTATTTGTATTCTCTTCTATTCGTTGGTGTTTTGTGACGACAATACTACCAACATTTATGATGAATTTTTTAACGAGTTAGTTGATAAAAAAGAGCTGACTGCTCGAATCAAAACTAAATTAAGTGATTCAGATGAAGCCGACAATGTGTTGATTAAAAGTGAGTACCTATTCGTTTAAAAATTTCAAGAGAAACGTGGTTGTTTTTAGTGTTGGATGCTTGGTCAAAATTTCCTAGTGGTATACTAGAAGGCAATTTGATGGATTTGGGAAGATTTGATAAATGCTACGGCATCGAATATAATAAAATTTATGGGAAATATTGTCTGGGAAGAATAGAATTTAGCCCTCAAACAGAAAAATATTTCAAAAATTTTGGAATCACGGATGTAAAGGCGAGTCCTGTAAGTGTTTTGTTTGACTAAAATAGTTGCTTAAATCACAGTTTTCTGCCAAAATAAAAAAGCAATTTGAGCCACTTTTTTGCTTGATTTTAAGGCATAACTTAACAAAATAAATGCTTAAATCCTAATTCTTGTCCAAAATGAAGCACTTTGTGCTATTTCCAATCGATATTAAGCCATAAATCAACCTAATCAATGCATTTCAACAAAATACATGCTTTAATCTCAATTTTCGACCAAAACAAAGCAATTTGAAATATTTTCAATTCAGTTTTGCTTGACTTTAAGGTAGAAGTCATACTAAATCAATGTATTTTAACAAAATAATTAGCCAAATCCAAATTTATGACCAAAATAAAAAAATTGTGCAATTTCTAATCGATTTGGTTCGATTTTAAGCTAAAAATCAAACTACATCAATGTATTTCAACAAAATAACTGCTTAAGATAAAGTAATTTGAGCAACTTCTAATATATTTTTACTTTATTTAAAGCTAGAAATCAATTAAATACAATGTATTTCAACAAAATAATTGCTTAAATTGCAGTTTTCACCCTGAATAAAGCGATTTAAGCAATGCTCAATCTAATCTTCCAAAATTTAACCTCAAAACTTATTCTAAATCAATGTATTTCAACAAAATAATTGCTTAAATCCCAATTTTTGGCCAAAATATAGCAATCTGAGTTTAGATTACAACTTGCAGAGAATTTTATTACACCCAGAAGCGCCAGATCGATGGGCTACACATGACTTCATTTTGCTGCCTGTGTACCAAGTACCATGTCAGCAGCTGAAATCCCCGGACTTTTCAACTATGCGGAAGATTATTGTTATTCAAAAGCAACAGAACCGGAATTATTAGCGGGAGCAATTGTGACGATAACACTTCTAGCAATTTTCCTGTGTTTAGTGGTTGTTTCAACCTGCTATGATATTGCTCTAAACTACTTCAAAAAAGGTAAAAAATACTTGATTTAAACAATGTGTCAATTTTTATGTTACAGAACTTTACCACAAATTGCTTATTGCATTTTCTTTTCTTCATAATGGCCAAAAACTCTTCCGGTCAAGCAAAAATTCGGATCAATTGCTTTGTCTAAATGGAATCAAAGCACTAAGTATGATGTGGGTCATTATTGGACACGAATTTTCAGCTGTCATATATGCACCATTATCTATTTTTTTTGACCTACAAAGGGTATGTTGTTCTACAGCAAAAATTAGAAGTGGATAATTTTTTTAATTTTAGTGGGTCGATGACCCCGCTAATATGTTTATACTAGGAGCCACAGTCTCCGTTGACACATTTTTCGTAGTTGTAGGTCTTGTAACAGTTTACACGTTTTGGAAATCAATGGACAAAGAAGCGAAATTCAATGTATTTCTTTTTTACGTTTTTTTTTATAATTTTATAATTTTATAATTGGTTTGATACACCTTTTTCTTTTAAATCACTTCGGAAATGGACCATTGTGGAAAATTGTTGATATAATTCTAGTTGACACATGCAAAACAGGATGCTGGAGTAGTCTATTGTATATAACAAACTATGTTCAACAAGGAACTGTAAGTGTGTTTAACAAAAGTAAAATCTTTAATTTAATAATGAATTTCAGTGTGTGCCCCCAACTTGATACCTTCAAGTCGATATGCAATTGTTTATCTTATCACCAATCGTTCTTATACCATTATTTAGGTGGCCTAAAATTGGTTTAGGTGCTTTAGGATTCTTAATAACTGCGGGATGTGTATCTCCGTTTGTGATTGGTTACGTTAATAATTTAGGAGGTCAGGTGTTAAATAATATGTAAGAAAAACAAAAAAAACACAAACAAAAATAAAAATTAATTTTAAGGGATCAAGAAGAATTTATGTATTTATTATTACGGTGCAACATACGCCCGATTTGGTCCATATGTTATAGGAATGTTTGCTGGATACTTCTTGTACAAGATTAAAACCAACAAGATCAAAATTCACTTGAAATGGGTAATAATTGTTTATGTTGTTACAAGTAGAAAATTAAAACTTTTTCCATTGGCAGGTTATTACTCTTTGGTTAGTATTTATAACCGGTCTAGTGGCCTGTGTCTGGGCCGGTTACCCCTTAAATGTGGCTACAGAAGAAGATCGATGGGGAAATTCAATGTTTTTGGCTTTTTATCGATCAGCGTGGGCTGTGGCAGTCGTGGGAGTAATCTTCTTGTGTGTGACTGGTTATGGAGGACCTATCGATAAGTTTCTTTCATGGCCAGTTTTTCAATTTTTGACAAAACTTTCTTATTCTATGTATTTGGTACATTCTGCTGTTATTGTAATAAGAATTGCAACTATTGCAATGGTAAGTATTCAAATTTTCAGGTGGTAATTATTACAATAATAATTTTTTAGATGCATGCCTTTTGAGGAGATTTTATGTTCGCATTAGGTTTATCCTTGATTTTGTGCTTAACTTTCGAGTCTCCAATCATAACTATTGAAAAATATCTCTTTCATAGAAGCCCCAAAACAAAAAGTGTTAAATAGTAACTAGTATTAATATACTTTGTGTACATGAATAAATAGTTATACACTTACTTTAAACAGTTTTATTACCTGCGTACATAATTTTGTAATATTGCGAAATATTACATCCAACTACTTAAAATCTTGTTCAGCAGGTGTAACATGTTTTTTAAAACCAATTTTTTTTCTGTTTTCTGGTGCTTCCAGTGCTTTGTGATAATAACATTTCCAACATTAATAACATAACATTTGTTAACGAGATGATAAACAGAAAAGAAACAGTAAATAAGTATTTTTTGAAAATCTTTAAAAAAATAATGTTTTTAGTGTTGGACGCTTGGTCGAAATTTTCTAGTGGGACAATTGACCAATTTGATGGATTTATAGTACTAGTTTATTATAAAAAACCAAATATTTTTGATTTTTTGGTCAGAATCGGGTATAGTGTTTATACTTATAGCCTAAACTATATTACACAATATTTCAAAAACTATGCATCGTGAAGTATTTTTACCTATTGCATCGTGTT